GACAATAGTCTGTGGAATGCGCGGTGGATGTGCAGATTGCACAAGCTGGTGTCCTCAGTCCAACGAAGTGCATGCAAAACAGCTCAGTGTCCATTCTGCTCCAATCGGTTTTGATGTTGAACTGAGCCAGAATGGCAGACGCACTTACCGAAAAGGACCGGTGGTAATCGTAAAATGATGAACCACCATATTTATTGCCTAGGTCCACTAGCTTGTGCAAGTAGAGATCCAATTCCTCCCTCCTATGAGGGTGTACAAAGCATATTACATCCCTATAAATCCCAAAGGCAATGACAAAATACAGGATAGACAATTTCTTACTTAGTCTAGGATCCCTAGATTTCAATACAACAGATATATCGCCATATGCGTATGTGCTATTCTCCATGCCATCCTGAGAGGCAATCAGTAATGAGACAAGATTAACGTCTTTGTCTTCTGGGATGTCTTTTTTTGCGATTCCCAGGTACCATATGGGCGGGGGTAATGATATGAGTACCTGACTCCGGGGTTACTTTACCCGATTGTATCTGTGGTGAACCAGGAACTTCAGCAGCTAAAGCCCCAGATGATGACAAGGCTACAAGCCTCAATTCTTTCCAGTCTATCGTTAACTTTGCCCATGGAGTGAGGAAATCATGGTGTGGAGCTTCGAGTTGCTGGAGCCACTCATTCCTTCTCCGGCCCCAGTATGTGTTGTCAGTATGTGTCTGCATGAGCAGAAACATTTCTGCTTTCCTGGCCGTTTACGAAGTTCTGCCATGATGCAGGAAATGGTCCAAGACCTAATAGATGCAGGGCTACCAATATCGCCCTTTTGAGTAGGAGAAATGGACCTGACAGGAGTACTGGGAATTGACAACTCGTCAACTTCATCAGGGATCTGAGACATACTGAAAGATTTATTAAACACCATTTAGAAAATGCAGTGTTTTACAGGTTGGCTTACTAGTGCCAAGTGGCGAAACAATTCACTAAGTTCGGTGACAGATGAGGCCCTGCTAATTGCCTTGCAACTAGAGAGGCTCTACCTATGTTTTGGCACCAGGGGATTCGTGACCACTGCACTTGTGGCGGGGTGGCGGCCTCTCGTGACAATTAAGCCCAAAGATAGTAGGGAAGTGACATAGAAGGCCCTCCCTATGCAACCGTGCGAGGCGGCTAAATATGATTTGGGGCGAATTTCACCTCTAGCGTGGAGGATGGGTTTTGGCCTCGCGGGACCACTGTAGACAAGGCAGAGGTGCCGGAAGTGTTACCACTAGTGGGCGCGGTAGACTCTAATAAGCCAGTAAAACCTAAAAGAAAATTGGGATGTTGAGGAGTCGCCTTTGGTAAATGTACGTGAAGTCTATTCTCGTGTTTGTTAGGTCCGAAAGTAGTTGTAACCTATTGAAATTGAATGGTATAAGTTGCAGCATGGATACAGTGGTAATAGGGGAAAAGTCCACCAACCAAAAGGGAGGGAAAAATATATATATTTATATATTATTAACTTACCTGTCACAGAATACTGTTTCCCACTAAAAGGAGGTAGAGGCCTAAACCTAATAATAAAAAAGATGAATATATAAATTAGCATGCATATCCACCAATGAAACATCTGGAATTGTACCCCTTAACAAGACCACCTACTTACAAGATATATGATTCGAGGTGTGAAGAGCAAATGCTGCTCTAAATCTTCGCCTCGAGATCTGAAAATGATTGGCATGACACATGAATACGTTTGTAAGCAAGCCAATGACATGCATTAACATCAATCGTAACCCCATAGTATGTTTAAGGAACTATTACACAGAAAACTATGTAGAACCAAATACCATCCTAAACAAAGCGCTATGTGTATACTATGTTCCTATAAATTTGCTAACTAGAAACTGCATTCAGACTGACCTGCTGAGCCCACCATTATAATGTACAATTTATACATAAAAGAAAATACATTCTGTCAACTAATAGTTTCCTAGTATGATGGTCTCCAATGTACCTCAATACTACTGCTACATCAAATTTTGACCGCTAGAGAACTGCCAGCCAAATCATCCTGAGCTAGGAAACAATAGCAACATATGGAGAGCATTTGCCAAGCTTTCCTGAGCACAGGCGTAAATGTTTGAGAATTGTTTAGCTACGGCTAGCTGAACCTAGGGAAATAACTGAATCCCCCTTACTAAGCGAACGAGTGGGAAAAGGACACGAACAGTAAGAGTCCATGATTACGTGCGAACACAGTCGTGCACCTTGGTTTGTTTGGTAAAGCGGGGGGGTTAAATAACCAGGCCACGAACAAATAATAGACATGACCCGTTCATATGAAAACGAGCTGAATGGACAAGTAGAAAAAGGACACGTATGCTCTATGCGGCAATAGAGCCAACGTGTCTGCATATCAACACATAATTGAAAGAAAAAGAAGCCCAAACCGTGAAGACGCCAATGGAGGGCACCGTGCGACTGGTCGGTCCACGGGGTCGGAGGTCAGGCTGGAGCTTCCGGATTGGAAGACCGTACAGGAGAACAGCGGAACGGAATGTAGCCATGAAGACCTGGGGATCCAGACAGCAGGAGACAGCAGTTTCCATGGACAGGTAGTAGGTGAGATGGCGGTCTGTATGCACCGGAAGTAGCAGCATGCAGATTGCCAGACCAATGGGTAGGCCAGGGGGGAGTCCCTTATATATGTCCATATGCCCCTCCCACAACTCCAGGCAAAGCCTTTATATATATATATGTATATATATATATATTTATTTTTAATATATTGATAAGTAAACATAATACTAAAATTCTGGGAACTAACAGTTCCCTTTTAAATGCTCATAACAAGAGGTGACAGAAAGTGAAATGTAACAGTCAATTAAACAATGTATCACCACCAATTCAATGCATTTAAAATACTAAGTTGTATATTCGATGCTGTGGTCATGCTGTATATAGGAGCTCTGTAACAGCTCTGTTTATAACAGCTTAGAACAAATGTTGAGTTTTCAGATTTGGAGGATTTAGCAGGTTATCTATGAAAAAGTTTGTTGCAATCTTCAATAAAGGAATATAAAAAAAATAATAAAAAAATAAATGTTGCAATCACTTTCTCACTCACACTAGTTCGTGCAATTGCACCATTTGTTGATGTTTACAACTGCACAAATAAGGTAATAAATAGAAATATAAGGAAAGAGCTAGAGAAACGACAATGTGACACTTTTAGACATAACTCTCTTAATGTTAGAACTAAAGTACTTGGACTTATGGCGGAGTTGAGGCTAAGGGAAGGGGGGTCTTAGGATTAGGGGGTCCTAAACTCAAGATGCTCTGCATTTGTACTGTGCACATGGGTTGGGCGGTACATTGTGCAGTTCTCCCATTTTCTAAGAATAGATTTTTACAGCTGTTTATTTTCCCATGCTGCAATAATTTGTTCTGTTATAAAATGAGCACCCATGGTGCTTTGCTCTTTTGGAATACATTGTCATTTTAGCATCTCAATAAAGTTGTTCAATGTATTAAAGTTGACATTGCCAGACTCTATGCGAATCGTACGGTTTGTTGTTTGAGAGCTACTTGTTTGCAGACTCTGATCAAGATCAAGCCTCATCTACACCTGTAACTGCGGTCTTTTGATTCTTACCAAATCCACCAGCACCACGTGGATATTTCTAACGACCTTTCCTCGTGCTGTAAATAGTTTACAGAAAAGGAATTTATTTGCTTACAGCCTAGAGCACATATTTCTCCTGGGCTTTCTTGGCGAAGGGGATGTCATTACAGTAAAATCCTCCTCATTAAGGATCCTAGGAACTCAAATTAACTGAAACTCCTTTATATGTGTTTACATTGGCACGCAGTGACAATGCGTTCTCCCTTTTTCATCATGATCACATTCTGTGAAGCGGCACGTTTACGAGGTCTAAATAACGAACAGACACAGTGTAATTCCTATTTGCCACATCTCACACGTCGCAGTTCAATTTCTCGAAATGTTCAACATATTTGTTTTATTTTTTATTTTTTGAATCATGCCAGTGAAAATCCTGAAGTTTATACTGGCATGTGTTATCAATTTCTTATTCGTCCCTAGTGTAATTGTGAAAAGGAGAGGAATAATTCAGGGTAAAAGCACTGAAAAACAAGCAGAATGGCGTAATAGCACATCTGTTTTTATAAGAAATTGTGGAACCTGGATTTTTTTTCAGTGTGGTATTTTACTACCACATGGCTTTAATCCTACATCTGGGCCTGTTGTTTTATGAAATATTTCTCACAGATGATGTCAATTATAATTTTTGTCCTGGTCGTCAATTTACTGACTTTTGGAATAAGACTTAAATGAAACAACCAGAAAAGGAACAACTTATGTGGTCTGTGCTCTGACAAAATTATAGCTGTGTGATACACATCTAAAATCAATAACTCTGTTAATGATTAGCAGAAAACTTGCTTGGTCTAAGAGCAGAGATGTGTCCCATTCTCTGCAGATGTTTGGCTCGGAAATACATTCTTGTTTGCTGTGTGTTTACCAGCAGATGTTCGCTCTTATGCTTAACCATTTCAGGAGACGCCGAGCTCGTTGCCTGGTATCCATTTGCCGAGCCCTGCGGGAATGAAGAGGTTAATAAGAATTGCCTTAGCAAGCAGTGGGTCTAAAATTTGCTGTGTGCTTCCAAACCATCTGTCAGCAATACAGGTGGAATGCTTTCATTCTCGTTTAAGTGCCTCGGTTTTACTGTTCATCCCATGCATTGAAATCCGACGTTCTGTAGCAGACCCTAGAAACCTTGATTAGAGATTCCACTGATGGTATTTCAAGCTGGATGCTTTTGATGTATCAAAATATATCTCTACATGTAAAATAATCCTAAATCAATTGTCTGCTGCTTTTAAGCAGGAGCACCTGGCGTGATGACTGTACTGAGAACCTATATTACGCTCTCCTAATGATAATGATACCCTTTGTGTGCCAAACCAACATTCTTTGAATTGGATGCAGATAGACAAGAAAAAGTTTTCCTGTGCAGAAAGAACCCTGGCTGTATTAGTCAATATTGAAAGTTCTTTGCTAATGTTACTTCTTGAATTAAACTTTTGAGTATCATCAAGGCTGGCTAATAATATCTTATCTGCAAAGATACATTGTGTACATTAAGATGTATGTAAATCTGGAAGATAACCATTAGAGATACCAGAAACGTTGATTGTTTCAGATTTCTAGGATCCAAGCGACATTCCAGGCTGGAGTTACGTTTTGGAGATAATTATGGGATATGTTGTAAAGCACTTGTGAGTAATTTCATCCATTAAAGAATGGAGAAATTCTGGAAAGTGACTTCATTTTACCTTACCAGGGTGACTTAATTATTGTTTTTCATGAATGAAGCTGCTACAGGCCTGGGATGTACTCAGCATCTATGCAGGTTCTTGTGTTTTGTTTGAACTTGTATGTTTACACATACCATGCATGAACACACCATGCACAATATTGTTTGGGCACAGAGAAGTATAATTGCCCACTTGATGGTATAGAGGAGAGAGTGAGCCTATAGCTCTACCAATCTGATAATTGTCTGCAGGTGTACGTAATGTCCTTATGAACACTTTGCAGCCTAACCTGTGCAAACAGCATCTGTAATTACGGAGCACGGAATATCATTTAGTATCTTTACTAACATGCCAACAGGTGAATTATTTTACATTTAGTCTTATTTACTCTTAGAAGGTAATTGCACTGAGAAGGCCTTGGCCACTGGCTGTTTCAGTTGTTTCAACATTAGAGTCTGTGATGGCTCTGATTTGGACGAATTGTCGATGGGCCAAAATTCAGTCGTATTACGATTTTGCAGAAACCCAATCTCCAAGTCTAATAATACTATAAGAATAATATAAAAATAATAATATTCCACAAAAAGTAATTTTATTCTGAGCTGGTGTGCAATTCATTTTTATTGGACTTTTCAAATGTATCTAGTCATCGTGCATTACAATTCATTGTGAAAACGTATTAAGCATTGAAAGAAAACATAGGAACATGTTGATCGAGTATCAGTTGACAGTAGTGTTGTATATGTTACCAGATGGTGGTATATGGCCAAGTGGTCCATTATATTTGTCATGTGGAAGTGCTCTAAGAATTCATCCAGAGTAAATATGCATTTGTTTTTATATTATCATTATCGTTTGAGATGTGTTTTTCTTTTTTCACTTATTCTGTTTGAACTGTATAGCAGCAACTTGCATGTACCTAATGTTACCTCAATGTTTTTAGTGAGCAAATTTAATGTAATACTCTTAATTGCATTAAGTAAATATTTGGAATTTTGTGAATAAGTCTGTTGATGATTACTGATTTAACAGAAAAAAAGGCCTTTCCCACACATTAACAGCTGATAAACATGAAATATAGGTTTCACACGTACAAAACGTGGACAACATCATCAGCTACAAACCATTATTGCATCCACATAAAAAGACACATTTTGTACAAGAAGAAAAAAGTTATAAAATTAGTGAAAGGTATAACCAATTAAACTGTTAACATCAATAGAATAATACTGATGACTTATATAGAATATAATGAAAACAAATGTTTTGTGATTAGTGAAATGTTCTACCTCTTGTTCTCAGACTCGTTCTTTTGACAAACAAAATATCAGATCAGATCAACAAGAAAGACAAACGGTTTGCAAGAGAAGGTTTCAGATAAGCATTCTTGATTCAATTCTCACAATTCTTTAACAGTATCTGTAACACAAAGGTGGAAGAGAAATGTTTTTGAAAAAATAATTCAAGGGGAGAAGACCAGTATCCATTCATCACATTGTTAAAAAGAAACCTAATATTGTTTTCATTGTTTAAGAATTTTAATTGTGTTACTGATATCTAGGTCAATACCTAAGAATAATATGAGCTAAATTTAAAAATTACTTCTGGAATTGGAGAGTACACTCTGAGTTGAATACAATAGTTTTAAAGTATTACATAGTTATGTACTCATCTAATAAATTAATAATCATAAAACAATACAAAATAGACTAACCTTCAAATGTTCTATGTTTGACACACAGCCCTAGGCTTTGCAGTGAGTTTTTACTAAATATCTTCCCTTTCAAAGGTGATTTTAGATTTGGGAAGTCGCAGGATGCTAAATCTGGGCTGTAAGGGGGATGAGTCACCTCATTTGCGCTGCACTCATTGCATCATGCCTGAACGTCTTCTGAATCATCCGAATATTTTCCATGGAGGAATGTTCAAGCTTAACGAAATGTTTGATGCAGGTTCATTGTTCTACTCACTCAATCATGTTGAGTGAGTTTGCCACACAGTACACATACTCACTCAACAGCATTTAGTGCCCCCCACTGACTAGAACTCATTGTTCACCCATGTGCATTCCAGTCTTCCAGTCCACTCTCCTATAGATATAGATATTAAATTATATATTAAATTAAATATATATTAAATTGATTTTCTATATATTTTTTTCTAATTTTCTAATATATATATATATATATATATATATATATATATATATATATATATATATTGGAATTTTAGTTCAATTAACCTACAATTACCTTGAACCCTAAACCACAGCATTATATTTGGAGCAAAACTGGAAACACTAAATGAGAGAAGAGGCAGAGAGGGTGGCCATATGGATTATGAACCTGCACAGGGTTGTTCCCCGCTGACATGAAGCAGCAGTGAAGTTCAGCAACCCCTGAGTGGCTCATCAGGTCTCTTTAGGAATGCACTGCTCACCTTCGTGGGTGAGGAAGGGGCTAGAAAAGGTGAACTAAACATTGCCTGCTCTATCTTTCCCTAGCCAGCTTACCACGGCTGGAAGGGACCCTAATGTAGTGGTCGAAGCTCAAACAAGAGATAAAGGATCATGCCTCTTATATTAGGTGCATGGAATGTCTGCACACTACATGACAGAGAAGACATGAATAGACCTCAGAGAAGGAACTCATGTAATATCAATAATGCAACCGGGAGTGAGACCTGGCTAGCTGGGGAAGGCAAACTATGTGAAATAGTCTCTGGTAACATCGTCTTCAGGGGAGGCTGTGGAAGAAATGAGTGTCAAGAAGCAGGTTTTGCTTTTGGAGTGAAGGCAGTTCTTGTTAGTAAATTGGCTGGACTTCCTAAGGTGGTAAATGACAAGTTTATTGCTATGAAATTCCCCGTCCTGTCTGGAAAGAAGACCCTTACAATCATCAGTGCCTATGCTCCAACCATGACCAACCTAGATGAAGTAAAGCTTAATTTCAATAGGGAACTTCACTCAGTCATCACCGATGCTCAAAAAAAAAGAGGGGCAGGCAGGATGCAGGTGATCAAGGCCATGTGCAGCACTGCTACTGGACAGATCACTGCCTCTTTATTATTTAGCTCAACATCTGTATTCAACCCAAAAGACACCCACAAGGAAAGAAGGCTCATAGGCAGTTGAACACTATCAAGCTAATGAACTTAAGAATCAATCAGTATCTTTTGGATGCTTTGGAAGAACACCTGGAATCCACCCTTCTTGATCGTCAAAATGTTGAAGCCAACTGGGCAACACTTAGAGAGCTGATTTCAGCACAGCCACAGAAATCTTGTGGCCCACAACCATGAAGCTTAAAGACTGGTTTGATGAGAACTATTGGAAAAGAAACATTGCCTCCAGCAAGCCTACCTTAGCAACTCAAAGTCCATATCAAAGAAAGAGTTATTCAGCAACAAGCGGAGGTCAGTACAGCAGTAACTTCATCATATGCAAGACATTTGGCTCAGCAGAAACGTTGATGAGATTCAAGATTATACTGACAAGCATGACATGAAGAATTTCTATGACACTCTAAAATAAGTGTACAAACTAGACATGTGCAACAGTGAAATTTTCGTTTCGTACGAATGATATCGTACGAAATAAAAATATAATTTGTCAATCCCGAATTTCGTCTGTAAACCATTTGTTTTTCGGACTAAATTCGATAAAAAAAAATGTGTTTTCGTCCATTAGGACAAAAATAGCACTGCACATGCGCAAAAAAAAAGCAAGGAGGGAACCAGCAGCGCTACTAGCTCCCTCCTTATAATAAACATTACCATTGCACCCCACCCCCCTGCATTAACCTATGTGAGTTACTCTGACCCCCATATTAATAAAAGGGAGGTAAATCCTCCCATATGTACCCTACTTGCATGTCGCCTAAACGCCAGTGGCTGCATGCTGTCATTTAAAACTAGTAGTGACTGGGCAGCTATTGCTGCCCAGTCGCTAGTGCAATAAGGGGGGATCTGGCACAGGTTAAATCCTCCCGCATACCCCTACTCATGGCTTGCCAGCTATTAATATAAATGGGGGACCTAGTGTCCCCCTCAGGTCCCCACCCATGACAGACGGGTGGGGACCTTTAATAATTAAATAAACGGTGAGACCTAATGTCCCCACCCAGGCATGGACGTATTAGCTGCAAGGCAAACAAGGCATTTGCCTTGGGCGGCATTTTCCAAATGCCCAGGCAAAATGTCTTGTTAGCCTGGCGGCTAACTAACAATCCGGTCAGTCAGACGGGCAACGCTGGCGAGGGAGCACTTTCCCCCGAGCTCTATGCTCAGCTCCCTCGCGCGTCGCAGAGTGATGCCGGGAGCTGGAATATGACATCATATGACTCTCACTAATCAGTGCTCCCTTGCCACCGCCACCTGCCTGCTCGCCCAGCAGCCCAGCAGCCCAGCAGCCCAGCAACCCAGCAGCCCAGCAGCACAGCAGCCACTGGACCCCAGGGAAAGGGAGAACCCCCCCCCCCCCAGCATTCCCAAAGGTAAGGAGGCTGGGGGGGTTGAGTGTGTTAATGTGAGCGTGTGTGTGTTAGTGTGTGTTAGTGTATGTGTGTCTGTTTGTTACTGCGTGTGTGTGTTTGTCTGTGTGTGTGTGTCTGTTAGTGAGTGTGTGTTTGTCAGTTAGTGAGTGTGTTTGTGTGTTAGTGTGTGTGTGTGTGTGTGTCTGTTAGTGTGTGTAAGTGTGTGTGTGTTAGTGTGTGTGAGTGTGTGTATGCTAGGGAGTGTGTTACTATGTGTGTGTGTCTGTTAGTGAGAGTGTATGCGTGTCTGTTAGTGAATGTGTGTATCTGCTAGTGAGTGGGTATGTCTGTTAGCTAGTGCATGTGTGTCTGTCAGTGAATGTGTGTGTGTATTTAAAAGGCTGGGCAGGGAGAAGGGTGGGGTGGCGCGGGGGGGGGGCAAGCCTGAGTTTTGTTTTTTGCCTAGGGCAGCACAAAACCAGAATACACCACTGCTCCCAGGTCCCCACACATGAGCGGCGGGTGGGGACCCTAATTAAATAAATAATGGGGTGGACGTAATGTCCCCCCCAGGTCACCACCTATGACCGTCATGTTGGGATATTAAATAATTACATAAAGAGGGGGACCTAATGTCCCCCCACCTCTCCACCCTCCGTTCATGGGTTCCCAAGCCCTTAGTTACTTCCACCCCAATGAAAATACCCTACCTACCCCTCTCACCCTAATAATAGTGAGAGGGGGCCAATAAACTAACACCCTGTAAAATAAAATGTTATACTTACCATTAGATGTAAGGGTCAGAGGGTTATAAGTCAAATTACACAGCATGGGACCCCTAGTCACTTTATTATTTGTGGTCCCCACCCGCCGCTTATGAGTGGGGACCTGGGGGGGCCTGTGGGGACCCGCGAGTAGGGGCATGTGGGAGGATTTAACCTCCCTTTTTTATTAATATAGGGGTCATAGTGATCCCCATACTGATTTATATCCAGTTTTAAATGACAACGAGCAGCCACTGACTGTTTAGGCGACATGCCCCTACTCGCGGCATGCCATGAGTAGGGGCATGCGGGAGGATTTAACCTCCCTTTTATTAAAATGGCCCCCATAAGTTTTAATGTGGGGGGGGGGGAGAGTAGGAATTGTTAATTTTTATTACAAGGAGGGAGCTGGAAGGGCTGCCGGCTCCCTCCATCCTTTTTTTGGGGGGGGGGGCACGTGCGCAGTGTTAGTCTATTAAACGAAAGAACTGAAACTAAAACAAATGCATTCGGTATTTGTCCTTTTGTTTCGTTAATAATTTGTATGTAGGACTTTCATTTTTTTTAGCAAACGAATATGAAAAAGTCAGAAAATTCGGACAAAATCATATTCGTACGGAAACTAATGCACATGTCTAGTACAAACCCATATCATCTAGATCATGCCCCTCCCAGTGCTAATGGATGCACTTTGATCACTGACCAGAATAAGAATCTTAACAGGTGGGATGAACACTTCGATAGTGTCATGACAGATATCATCAGAGATTTCCTGTTTGCTGATGGCTGTGCCCTCAACGCAGTTTCAGAATTTGACATGCAACGCAATGTAGACAAGTTTTTCAAAGCCTGTGCATACTTTGGATTATTCATCAGTACAAAGAAGACTGAAGTTTTGCATCAGCTGGCCCCAGGAAAGCCCTGTTAAGTTAATTTTGTATGGTGAGCTGAAGCAAGAACAGCGACCCCCTCATGGTCCAAAGAAAGGCTTTAAAGACACTCTCAAAGTCTCCCTCAAAATATTTTACATTAACTCTGATTCTTGGGAACAGATCACAATGTATTGGATGACATGGCACTCTGTCATGTCAAAGGGTGCTGAATCATATAAGGCAAAAAGGACAGCAGCAGCCGAACAAAAGAGGCATCCTAGAAAAGCTTGTTGCAGCAACCCTGTTGTAGATGACCTCTTCTAGATATATAAGAAATGGTGGAAGTGCACTCAACCCTTTATCCAGGAATCCAGGGTGCTCCAATGGATACGTCCCAGTACCAAGAAAGGACCAAATATAAAATGATTAATAGTAGAAAGTAATCCAGGCACTCCAATGAATTCCAAAATTATAGGCAATTTATTAGAACCAGGAACTACACAGCAACGTTTCAACCCCTCAGGGTCTTTATCAAGCTGACCTCTTCGACTGCTGTTCCATCTGTCCTTGGACCTTCTGTGCAAAGATTGGTCTTGTTAGCCATATGCGTACATACATATAGAACCTGCACTAGCAATTCACAGATTACTGAGTGATCCTCATCAAATCGATGGACGAACAAAGCACACAGGACATGATGAATAAATGTGACAAAGGCAAAAATATATATTTTTCAAATATTCTCTTTAAAACTTATAAAATGCATTTAGCCTTTCAGGCACTAAATAAAATACTCATCTTTGATAAACAGCTACATTGCACAGCCATACGTGTTTTAACTTTAAAGGACCACTATAGTGCCATACTCGTTTTCCTGGCACTATAGAGCCCTGAGGGTGCCCCCACCCTCAGGGTCCCCCTCCCGCCGGGCTCTGGGAGAGGAAGGGGTTAAAATCTTACCTTTCTCCAGCGCCAGGCGGGGAGCTCTCCTCCTCCTCTCCGCCTCCTCTCCTCCTCTTCGGCTGAATGCGCATGCACGGCAGGAGCTGTGCGCGGATTCAGACAGTCTCATAGGAAATCATTCATAATGCTTTCCTATGGACACTTGCGTCTTCTCACTGTGATTTTCACAGTGAGAAGCACCTAAACGCCTCTAGCGGCTGTCAGTGAGACAGCCACTAGAGGCTTTAGAGGCTGGATTAACCTATTTATAAACATAGCAGTTTCTCTGAAACTGCTATGTTTATAAAAAAAATGGGTTAACCCTAGCTGGACCTGGCATCCAGACCACTTCATTAAGCTGAAGTGGTCTGGGTGCCGAGAGTGGTCCTTTAATAAGGCTAATAAACTACATGCATAACAGTACAACTAAAACCACAGAAGAACACCAACACTATAAGATAACATGTGTGTCCCTAAATTATGTAACAAGTCAGGATACTCTCACCTTGAAAAACACCTTATGTGGTTGGTAAACTAGGTCTTTTGGTTAGTGCACCAACTGTAGTAACTTTTCATACTTCAGAGTTAAAGGACATGTTCCTTGCAGGGTCATTTTAGAATAGTAATATATCCTTGCTATTAAAATACTTACAGGACTTATTCCTACACATTTTGATTTACAGAGCACATTATATGTCTATGATATTAATCATTTGTTACTTAGAGGTCATAAATTATAAGTGCAATACTGTTTCAAACCTTAAAGTTTTCAAAACTTCCTATGTTTGGCATCTCTGTTTTCTAGTGGTCACATACACTTCCATTTCTGTACCAAAAGTATATCATTTATATAAAGGGTATTTAGACACTTTCCCCAAGGCTATTTTACCACCAATCCTTACTAGTAATATTGTGTATATTTGTGTTTTTGTTTTGTTTTTTGTTTGTTTTTTTACTCTATCACACACCCAATACTGATTTTTGTATGTGTATTTTTGTAAACTCTAATTTTAGACTTGGAAACTTGATATATTAATTTGCTGAGTCTAAATTTACAGTATTATATTTGCTCACAGATTTAAATGATTCCATAAATGCATATAATTTGCAAAGGTAAGCAACCCATGATACCGCACATTATTTTGTCTCACATTTTTTTTCACATGCACAGTGTATGTTGTTTTTTTTTAATCAACTAACTTGTACTTTGAATAATGAACAGGTGATGAAGAAGAGAAATGGCTTTCCAG